TGATAGTTTGATACTATGGAATATTTTAGTTTTAATTTTTCTTGTATTAAAATAAAATCTAAAAATCATTACTTGCAATAGCACGACGAATCTTCATCATTGTTTTCTAGCATGTTATTGATAWTAAAAATGTGTTTCATTGCACAAATTCGGACGTAAAAATAAATTTTCGTATAAATGAATATGAAAGATATACTATGCAATTCACTGTCGGATTATACTTAGAAATKATACCTATAGCAGTCGCCGTTGAGAGGTTATCCAACAAATCCGGGATGATTGTATGCTCATAACTAAATGATGAACAGAAACGATTGTATACTAACAGACAATAATAATAATGCATATCGTTTTGTTTTTAAATAACGTTTAAACTTATATGTTAATAATATGCCATTGCCATATGGACTCAATGTGGTCTCCTAGCTGGGGGTCTTTTATTAATATTATAATTTACATCTTGACAGGGGGTAAATCTTTAAAGTATATACATATGTCATCATATTTGTGTTTTATAAAGTATGAAAAATATGATTCACAATAAAATACTATAAGCAATATTTAATGTCTTAATGAGAAACATTTTACTGAGCTACAACATTTTTATTGACAGTTGTAATTTTTTTGGTTCAATGATGAAAAATCCTACACGAATAAACTAAACACTATACCATATTATATTTATCCATAAATACCCGATTCCATTCAATGAATAAAAACTATTTTTTGCTAACTGCTAATTATATAACTTGGGTCTAAGTAAATAGGACCTAACAATCTTACTTAGTGATTTATGTTATCAGTGGGAGGTTTCTTTTTTAGATTGTTCATGTTTATATGTCTATTATTTTATACTTATTAAGCATTTGTGCCTTAAGATATAAAATCTATAATTTTAAATACATTTAAAATAAAAATTGTGAAATAAATCATAATAGATGTATATATTTTCAGCATTATTTGCAACAATGCATTAGTGCAACGCACCTTACTTTTTTGTTATTAAAATATCATAATTATTAAATTATATTTTGATTGTATAGGTACTTTTTCTAAATTTGGTGGATTCACTAGATCAGCAAATTCCGAACTTTTTCAGTCTTTTCTCGGTAAGTATTTTCTTGCGGAGCCCCAAGAAATATTTAATATTAAGTTTTATTTGWTGTGTTCTGTGAAGCATATTACACATGATATAATGTATACAGGAGTAAGAATATTAAAATATTTATAAAGGAAAGAAACAACAATACTAATTTAGACTTGGAAAAAATAATATTCATTATTATGATTGTAAATTTAAGTTTATTTGGTTTATGGTTAAATGAATGGAATCGCTGCACTAGATGACTCCAACTTATGCTAAGTATTTTAATTAACAATATTGACTAAATATTTTTGTAAGTCTTCATTTGTTGAAATGTAGATGTATCTAATTAATTTGTATACTTCTTTGTCACAATACATAATGTAAATACATAAACACAATATTAAATCAAACATCTACACTAACAGTAGGTATATCTGTATATCTACAACTTTTTTTTTTTTTTTTTTTTTTTTTTTTAGAATCCATTTATTACATAATCAATGTTCAGATTATAAAAATAGAATACTATAATATATTAAGGAATCTTAGAAGTATTCAAGTCAACATAATTTATTAGAGAGGCTATATAGGTGACAATAACCTCAATATTTATCAAGAGTTGAAATGCATAATTAATAGAATATAGGTGATTATAATCAAACATGAGTGTATAAAAAAATCTTGGAAATTGGAGTGGTTTGAAAAATTTAGGTTTTTTTGGTATGTCAAAATATGATCTACATCATAATATTAAATAAATCTATAACAAACAGTAGACTCTTAATGTGTTGAAATTTGTAAAACCTTATATAATAATTGATTATGTATGATAACAATGATATAAATAATTAATAATTTAATTTAAATGTATTAAATAAAATATGTGTACTTGATTCCTAGGATCCTAAACTCAATACAAAAATCTTCAAATATTAGTAAACTGTTAAATAATTATTTCTGAATAAATTTAAATTGTATGTTTTATTTTTTCATTATTTATGATA